ATTAAAGTATGAAAAAAATATAAAACCTTAAATATTTTTTATTAATCAAATTTGAATAATATGTTTGTCATCTTATTATATGATATGTATACTAATATAATATATAGAAGCATAATAAATATTATAAGACACCAAAATATAACAATATAAATAACATATAGAATCAGGCTAAAAATATTTTTGTAACTAATTTTAGGCCCAAAATTATACTGCAATCCAATTTCTTTAGGACCAAACCGATACCCAATCACAACAAATAACCCGACCCAATTCAGGAAATATATAAACAAAAATTAGCTAGACCTAATACTTAGACGACGGTTCGCATTCTCTCGCCTCACTCCCGATTCTTTATACCTCCGGTTTAGTCTTTGAACATCAACCATAGGTTACGTAGTTCGTTATTCCTAATTTTTGTGGATTAAAATATTAGTTATGGAATTTTGGCTTAGCGATCTTCGTCTTCAGTTCATAAAATTGAAGTTTAACCATGATCGCACCGTCGATTTGAGGAAGTAGTAAAAAATCCTCATTGAGCTAAGTTAACTTATCCTTGTACTTGCTTCAGTCCGTTTACTCTATATTTTGTTATAGATTTGTCTATATCTTTTTTTGTTTGTTAGATTAAGATCTTATTATCGTTTTATTTCTGTATTTCAATTAAGGTTTTACTAAAAAAAAGTAAGAGTAAATATAAACAAATCTATAACAAAAATGGGTTGAAGCAAGTACAGGAACACATTACTAATAATAAAATGTGTGGAAGTTTGCATTACCGTTCTTTTTTATCATGAAACTATAATAAGAAAGAATCACCAATAAATAAAGTAATAGTTAGAAAATATATTAATATTAATATTATTATTTTTTTGAATGCTACCGACTCTATTAAATTAATATTATTATTGATCCTAATAATAATAATTCTGCCAATTTACTCAATGCGTCCAATACTTATATAATTATTAATATTAATATATTAAACATAGTATACTAATTTGTTCAAAATATTTATTCGAACATAATATTGATATTAATATATTAACAAAAAAATAACACAATTATAAATAAATATTTTTGGTACAATCTCCATCAGCCGAACAAATACTATTTTTAAACATAAAAAAAAAATATTAATTAACTAAAATTTTAATAAAGAATAAATATTCTTCAAAAAAAATAATGAATAAATATTTTTGGTACAATCTCCATTAGCCCAACAGATGTAGTATGTTTTGTATTTGCATATCAGGTCCAAATTAGTTAGAAAATGTGAGCCCAAACCCGGCCAAAGTATATATGCTAAAAGATGTGATCTGTTGTGTCCTCACAGCCAGACCTCCCCTTTGTCGATCAGCTAGCATTCTCTCATCTGTTCTTACCTTCTCTCTAAACACTGTCATAATCTCTGTTGTCCGATCATAGACTATAGCTTAAAAATATGAGTTAGTTTGTATTTCACCAAGATCTTGATGTCTCGGGCAGCTGATAATGACCGATTTCATCAGATCATGGTTGTGTATTGAAACCCTAGGTGAGGTCTGCAGATCGGTGCAATTGTAGTTCAAGGATCTTCGTTTTGACTCGTCGGTCTTCATTTTTACTGGCAATTTTAAGGCTCTAACGTTGATTGATGATCTAGATGGAGATTCTAGCCCTAATTCGCGAAATCGTCTCTAAGATAAGTCAACCACCCATGTTTTTTTTATAGATCCGTATCTTATTTTCTTCTAAATTTGAAATAAGTGGAAGATTGGAAAATACAATCTCAATCTTGAATTCGGCCTAACCAATTTCCAAGTAAAGTTAACAAGCTCTGATACCATTTGTCAACAAGCTCTGATACCATATGTTAAGAGAAAATTTTAATTTTGGTCCATTGACTATTGAACTTGTGTTAATTGCAACACCTGACTTTCAAAACTGTTAATTTAGTACCTTGACTATGAAATTTTTATCAATTTTGGTCACGCCGACCAAATTATCGGCCAAATGTGACCGAAATATTTGAAGTCAACAGTTAATGTTAAATAATAAGGGTAAAAGCATCTTTTAACCTAATCTCCTTCTCCTACCTCATACTCTTCACCGCAAACTCCAATTTATTCTGTAAAGGAGTAGACAATTTCTACGGTTCTACCTTATACAGAGATATATATGTATAAGCTTCCGTATATCAGCAGTAGTAGAAATGAAGGCTGAAGCTTAGCTTCCTTGCTAGATCGCCGATCCTGTGCTTGATACAAAACCTTGATGTTGCTCCTGCATTTTAGTCTTCAGATATTTCTTCACAAATTTATGCAAATATAAATAAATACAATTCATTATTGACATTTTATTTTTTAAATATCTTTTTTCTTAGATTATGTGGGAATAAAATTAGAATTCAAATACACTACTTAATCAAATGAAGTGTAATTATTGTTTTATTTATTGCCAGCACCAAGAGTCTATGCACATACTGAGTTTTTTTTTTTTTTTTTTTTAAATTTTATGTGATTTATTGATTTATCTAGTGTGATTTGTGATTTATTATATCAAGAATAAAATTTATCTCATACAAACTTTTAGACAACGGTAAGATTTTCCATGAAAAAAAAAAGTGAAGTTAACACTTTTAACCTTAAAAAGAATATGGGATGGTATAAATTCAATTTTGTTTAAATAAAAAAAAAAAAACTTAAGAACAACTTTGGAATATATTATCTTTAACTTATAATAACATTATAAAGTAGAACTTTTCATATATAACTTGTATTTTATCCGTGCGATGCACCGTATAAAAAATTTAAGTATAAATGTTATGGTCAGATCAAACGTTATGGAAAATTTAAAAATTTCTTTTGTAAATTATTAAAAAACTAATCAAAATTACAAACTATTAAAAAGTTACTAGTACATATCTTATTTGTTCCATTATGTTATATATATATATATATATATATATATATATATATATATATATATATAATATCATTTGTTTATGCACATACTAAAATATATATATAATATCATTTGTTTATGCACATACTAAAAAGATATATATAATATCATTTGTTTCTGCACATACTAAAAAGATAAAATATTAAATTATACAGTGTTATTAAATTTTATATACAAAAATATGATATGAGCTCTATTCATTTATATATATAATTTTTAATTTCATAATTATGTTAATTTGATTTGTAATTATTAATATAAATATTTGTAATTGAAATAAGAATAGGATATATAATACTCGTAGAAATTAATTCATGATTACATGAATTTACACCAGGACTATGTGGTCCAATGGTATCCGGGTTGGACTTCCATTTGGAAGATTATAAGTTCGAGCCTCAGTGGAGGCGTTATTGGTTCTTTGAGTTTTAGTAGGTTGAGAAAGTATATGAACAGATACTACAATGTAATAGAGCTATTTACAAATTTGTACGTGTATTTTTAGCAGATTTTTAGCTTGTATCTTTATGGTGTATAAACTCAACAATCTCTTTCATAAGGAAGGGTTCAGATGCGGGTGATGCTTTCCATTCAGTTGTGCGGTTGACGCACCTTAATCATTAACATGGTGCATCTTAAGTACACATGCAACCCACGCACTTTAAGCACACAAATAAAGCACCTTAAGAACACAAATCACGCACCTTAAGTACACAACAAAGCACTTTAAGAACACAAACCACTCACTTAAGAGTTTAAAATAGCTCACCTTAAGTTTCACACAACTGACGCACCTTAAGGAGGAAAACAACGCACCTTAAGAAGATAAACCATGCACCTTAAGTTTCAACTACCCACATTAAGCACAGAACTCACCCACCTTAAACACATAACTCACGCACCTTAAGTTTCAACAACTACTCACATTAAGCACACAATCCACGCACCTTAAGCACAAAACCCACACACCTTAAGCACAAACTTCACGCACCTTAAGCACAAAACCCACGCACCTTAAGCACAAACCCACGCATCTTAAATTTGACCTAAATTCAAAAATTACCACATTGCCACTGCGTTTTTGTCTTTTAATTTTGGTAATCTTAGATGTTGATTTAAGCAAGATCAACGGATCATATTTAACTGCACAATCGCACCTAGGCGCACCAACCGCACCATAACCCAATTCCTCTTTCATATATATATATATATATATATATATATATATATATATATATATATATATATATATATATATATTATATATATATATCTTCTGTTTTGGGCATTACAACAATAAAAAATAAATCAATTGATCACAATTGTTAATTTGAGTAATTTTAGAACTCTGTAAGATATGGGTTCAAGATCATTGTTGTTTTGACTTTCAACACGATATGCACTAAGTTACGTACCATGAAAGCCATCAAGTATCCGACATCTCAACTAAAAGCCTAAGCTAATAGTTAGGTTGCATCGCTTACGAGTGGCGTTGAGATTCGAACCCATGACCTTTGGTTTGGCTCTGATACCAAATTGAAGCATGTGCTCCATCTCAACTAAAAGCCTAAGCTGATAGTTAAATACACATTAATGGTTATATGCTCACACGCCCCCTCACATGTGCGGTGGGTTCCAAGCAACACGTGGACCGGTAAACCGTAGTCGCTTACGAATAGCGCTGAGATTCGAACTCATGACCTTTGGTTTAGCTCTGATACCAAATTGAAACATGTGCTCCATCTCAACTAAAAGCATAAGCTCATAGTTGGGTTGCACATTAATGGCTAGATGGCTATATGCTCACAAGCCCCATATCACAATTGTGACCAAAGGGAGGGAGAATTTGTTTGATTTGAAATCAGTACTGCAAAGACATCTCCTTTTTTCCATTCTGAAAATCTAATGTTGAAAGTAAAGGCTTGTGCATGGTACTTTGTAGGCAATGGGTTCGTAATCAACATATATATATATATAACAAAAGTAAAAAGTTTATAACAAAAGTTATGTTTCTTTGTGCCGTTGCTCGCCATCGGTTAGATTTAGAAAGAAATGAAATGTTTGACGGGAAAATTGGGATATTTTCATTTGTTTATAAAGAAGCAGCTAAGCGTAGAAGTAAGAACCGAGAAGCTGGAACCTTAGAAACTAAACCTATTGAAACGGTAAATAAAGAAGTTACGAAAAAATGGTTGATTGATTATGTATTACCTGCAATACGAGCAAAATGGCCTCCAAGTAGTTCAAAGACTATATTTATTCAACAAGATAATGCAAAACCACATATTAGTATGAATGATGCTGAATTTCTTGAGGCTGCAAAGAAAGATGGCTTTGATATTCACTTAACTTGTCAGCCTCCAAATAGCCCAGACATGAATGTATTGGATCTTGGTTTTTTTAGAGCTCTTCAGTATTTACAACTTCAAGAAGTTCCTCGCAATGTGGATGAACTAGTTGCTGCTACTCATAAAGCCTTTGATGAGATCTCAATAGAAAGTCTTAGTAATGTTTTTCTGACATTGCAACTATACATGGTTGAAGTTATGAAAAAGTTTGGAGGTAATAATTATAAGTTGCCACACATAAATAAGCAGAAGTTAGCACGAGAAGGTCGATTACCTACCAATATCTTATGTGATCCAGAAGTCTTGACTGAAGCAATTTCAAGTCTCCAGCAGTGATGTACTGTAAATGCAAGGTTGCTTGGTATGAAGTGTACTTGTAGTTGTTCTTCATATTTTTGTGTGTACATTTTACTCTAGCATTGTTGTCTTAATATTTTGTGTATAAGTAAATGGCAGTAGATACTATGATGATTAGTGAAATCTATTTTGCTCTTTTCGTAAAAGTTTGGCATTGCTGCTCTTAGGGGTGTAAACGAGCTCGAGCCGAGCTCGAGCCTAGGTAGGCTTGAGTTTGAGCTCGTTAATGCAGCCTGCTCTTAGTATTTTGCAGTTGACAGAATGGAGTAAATTGCTTAGATACTATGATGATTAGTGAAATCTATTTTGCTCTTTTTGTAAAAGTTTGGCATTGCTGCTCTTAGTATTTGCAATTAACAGAATGGAGTAAATTGCTTAATGTAGTCCATTTTGGGATTGAAGTGCTTTATTAAAAGTCTATGTATTGTGGAATTGGTGAAAAATGTATTGTGTTCATCCTTTTTTTTTACATTACAATAAAGATTAGTACTTTGTATGTGTTCAGACACTGTGATACTGTCCATTATGCTAGGGAATTAATGGTTTGCTTTGACAAAGTTTGGATGGCTTAAAAAAATCAAAAATTTTAAAGTTTATTTCAAAAGTCACTTTGTCCAGTGGTCCGGTTTGTGCACCAAGAATGCATAGTTGACATTTTAAAGTTCTTAAGGACATGTGGCATGGTGGGGAATTTTTATCTTAGTTGTGTGAATTTGACCCGTAAGATGGACGGAGAAAGACCCGGCTTCATCGAAGCGAACGGGGATTAGTCAAACTCGAAATGTAAAATTGATGGAGAAAGACAAGGAGTTAGTTGAGTAGACCCGAACTGTAAGACGAACAGAGAAAGACCCGAAACAACTCGTAGTTTACCAAAAAAATCGTAACCAAACAATCCATTACGGGGAATTCAATTTTCTCAAAGAGAAAGACCCGACTTCTTGGAGCGAACAAGGATTAGGCAGGTGGACCCGAACCGTAAAATTGACGGAAAAATACAAGGGGATTAGTTGGGTAAACCCGAACCGTAAGACGGATGGAGAAAGATCCGGAACACCTCGTGGTTTATGCAAAAAAAAAAAAAAAAAGAAAAAAAAAAAGAAAAACCATAACCAAACAATCTATTACGATGAATTTAAGAGCAAATTACACTTTTGGTCCTGTGACTATTGGGGGTGTGTTAATTTGAGTACGTGACTTTTAAAAATAACAATTTAGTCCTTTAACTATCATTTTTTTAGCAGATTTGGTCCTCCAGACCAAATTGCCGGTGGAATTTGGCCGGAAAGACGTTCGAATTTTTAAATCAAACGCTATTTTTTTACAATTAAAAAGACCGAATTACCCCCACTAATATTTGATTTAAAAATTCGAATGTCTTTCCGGCCAAATTCCATCGGCAATTTGGTCTGGAGGACCAAATCTGCTAAAAAAATGATAGTTAAAGGACTAAATTGTTAGTTTTAAAAGTCACGTACACAAATTAACACACCCCCAATAGTCACAGGACCAAAAGTGTAATTTGCTCTGAATTTAATTTGTTAAAAAAAATCAATTTGGTACATAATTATTAAGAAATGTTGATAGTTTTTGTAATATGAGTTGTGAAAGGATTGGCATATTTGAAAATAAAGGATTACTTCGTATTATTTTTTCAATTTTAACCAATTATAAATATCTTAATTATTGTAGGAACATAGAAGGGTAAATTGGAAAAAATATAGTAATAATAATGTTCAATTTTAGAAAGATGACAATATTTTAGGACGAACTAAAAAAAAAAAATAGGACAGGTAAAATGGGACAGGGAGAGTATAAAATAATTAAATATTAAATATAATTTTATATATATTATATAAATAAACAGGTCAGGCCTACAGGCCCGTAGGCCAGGCCTTCATATATAAGCCTGAGCCTATTTAACTAAATAGGCTATTAAATAGACCTAGGTCTGGCCTTTCGCAGTGAAGTTAACAAGCTCTGATACCATGTGTTAACCAGCTCTGATATCAGCAATTCGTGTAGGATAAGTTCTAAAGACCACCTTACCATCAAGATAACAACTTTCTTTTAGAACCCTATAAGATATGAGTTCTAATATCACCGTCAACATGAATTTTAACAGGATATGCACTAAGATGAGTACAATGAAAGACAACCAGAATCTGATTTTTATCAAAAAACTCATCTGCTGATACCATATTCTAGAACTCACTCTGCTCGGACATTGATTCCTTGTATATATGCATAACAGATCATCTCCCTTCTCTCTTTGTGGGAGATGGCGCTTTTTGACATTCTTAAATCAAACCAAAAAATAACCAATTTCCTTAATATTATACTTACTAGCACATCATGCACAATCTTGTTAGGGCGCAATCGCAGCTCAATACCGCACTCAAAAATCATCATCCTAGTAACGTCCTCCTGCCCGCTAAGTAGACGAAAACTATCTAAATGTGTGAGCAACTTCTCACAAGTGATGTGAAGAAGCAAGTTTTCGTGCTGGCGAATTCCGTGCCATATGGATTGTGAGAAATTGAGTTGGTCTCGGACATACAAATAGATCTGATCCCTGCGGTGTTGAACAAACACACCTTTGTCTGTAACAAATGAACATATGGGTTGGGTAAGTATTAGATATTTTTAAAGCACATTATACTAAATTGAATGGAATTTACGTACAAGTAACTCGTGCAAGCACGTGTAAGCTAAATACCATGAAAGGCCACCAGAATTCCATTCAAAAAATTATCTGAAAGCCCTATATCGGTATATACAGACTTATATCCTTCTTGACCCCAATCGAATATATAGTATGATGGTGGTTGAAGTGTGCCGAAATAAGTTGAAGATTGAAAAATACAATCTCAATCTTGAATTCGGCCTAGCCAATTTCCCAGTAAAGTTAACAAGGTCTGATACATTGCGTTAACAAGCTCTTATACCATGTGTTAACCAGCTTTGTTATTCTCCCAAAAAGCTGAACTCCAACCCTAAGGGCCCCCCACACTCCGACCCGACAGAGCATTTGGGAGGATGTAAATCATGGTAACTCAACTGAACATGAACCACAGAGGCTAGATCGGTGCTCACTGCGCACAAGGAACCCCCTCACTTTGAGAGGTAGCTGCCACACTGCCGCTGGTGAGACTCGATCCCTGGTCATTCTTCCAAAGTGTGTTAATAATATTTTATTGACCTCGTAGAGATAGGAGGTAGTAAGATATAATCATATTTATTAATTTATTTATACATTATTACCATATCATTTATTACTATCATAATATCATTCAACATGTTTATAAAAGATCTACACTGTTAGAACTCGTGATCACACAAAATTTTTCACCTCCAATATTAGCTAGTCGTGTCGGATAAGTTCTAAAATCCACATTACCATCAAGATAACAACTTTCTTTTAGAACCCTGTAAGATATGATCTCTAAGATCACCATCAGCATGAATTTTAACAGGATATGCACTAAGATGAGTACAATGAAAGACAACCACAATCCTATTTTTATAAAAAAAAACTCATCTACTGACACCCACAATTCTAGCACTCACTGTACACGCACATTGATTCCTTGTATATATGCATCACAAATAATCTCCCTTCTCTCTTTGTGGGAGATGAAGCTTTTTGACATTCTTAAATCAAACCAAAAAACAATCAATTTACTTAATATTATACTTACTGACACATCATGGACAATCCTACTTGGGCGCCATTGCACACGGTACAATATAGTCGTTTTTTACTGGTAAAAAATTAGGACAGCAACAGCTTATAAAACTGGAAAGAAAGACTGAGGAAAAAAAGAATACAAATGTGCCAAAAAAACATACTCAGCATCTTCTAAGACACAGTCCATCAACCTTGAAAGTTTTCCACCAATAATCTTCTCCACTAAAGAAAATATCTCCACAATCTTGCCTATTATATCTACATAGAAGAAAAAGAAGAAGAAGAAGATAGTAGAGAAATATGACTTGGCAAAAAGGTAACAAAAAATTTTGAAATACCCTTACCAAACAAATCATTCTCATTGACACCATGCTTCGCCAGAACATCCGTGTAACTTTTAATCTGAAACATGGAATTTAGATAGAAAATCAATACGTCTGAACTGCTTAACAGCAGTATCAAATTTAAATTCTATCATATATTGGCGATTAATTGTTTTATACTTGAAATAGTTGGTGATACATAGAAAGTTTCGAATCTCATAGACACAACCCTCTTGAAAATAAGTCTTGTACTTTTGAACTTGATCCTTAGGTATATGGACATGTATGAAACTCCCCTACAATGAATAGAAACAAAAGGAAGGAATATTAAAATGGTCTTTTTAATTATTTTTTTAATTATTTATTTTTGCTCTTGCAGGTAAATGAAGAACATTGAAGTAAGAAGGCCATTTCACAAAATGAAATATGGAAGAAATAATTTACCTGCAAGAGGGTGGTAATCTATAGTAAGAAGCCTATAGATTGAGCTAGAAATCCCGCCCAAACTAAAACACTGGGCTGCCTTCTCACTGGAGAAGGCAAAGAGTTTTTTTTTTTTTTTTTTTTTTTAAATAATATTGTTTAACTAATTAAAATTTTAATTAAAAATTATTAATACAATCTCGTAAATTGTATTTGACCAGGGTGGTGTAAATAGCAATATGAACACCCCTATGACTATTTACCCTACTTAGAGCATCCTTATCAGTTGGAGATATTAGGGGGAGAATGTAAGAGTGAGTAGGAAAGAGAATAATGTAGGAGGGGATGGAAAAAAAAAAATCAAAGCTGATTTTATAAAAAAAAAATATAAAAAATAAGCATGTCATTTCTCTATTGGTTCTCTCTCCTCCATCATTAATTCATTTTCTTGGGCAGAGTAATATCCCAACATTTGCAGATGCTCCCCACCTCTTCTCTCTCTTGATTCTCTTTCTGCCACCATGGCATTTTGGCCTCAAAAATAGTAAATTCTCCCCCATTTCTCCTCTGATGTAGATGCTCTTAGAGCATCCACATCAATTGGGAAGAATGAGGGGATAATGTAAGAGTGATTAGGAAAGAGATTGTGGGAGGGGAGAGAAAAAAAGAAAAAAAAATAATAGAAAACTGATTTTTAAAAATAAAAAATAAAAAAAATAAAGCTTTGTCAGGCGCGCTGACAGCGCTGTCAGCGCGCCTGACGCGCCACACGGGCGCGTGTAGTGCATGCGCCCGTGTGGCACTTAGCTGTGCGCTTACGCGCACAGCATCTGTGTTGTTTTTTTTTTTTTTTTTTTTTTTCTGACATTATTTTGTGTTTTGCAGGACAAATATCTCCTCAAATAACTCCACTCCACATTTGCTATTAACCCCACCCAACATAATTGTTATGACATTATCTCCATATTATCCACTAGTGTGGATGCTCTTATAAGATTGTTGAATTTTTTGTCATTTTTACAATTTCAATGTACTTTACACCTACTTTTGACTAGAGGGTGGTACAAATAAAAACACCATTTTAAAAATGTAATCAATCTATAGACGTTGAAGTAGAAGTGAGTGTGGAACGTTAGAGCCAACAAAAAAAATTGAAAAATAAAAATAAAAAAATCTTCACCTTAATGGCTACCAAACAACTTTTTAGTAAATTTCATATTATAAATCGAGTAGTTTTAATTGTCACACAAGTCTCAAGTCATTTACCCTTTAAAATAATATTTTCACAAAATAAGAATATTGTATAAAACACTTTGGTATTCAATATCTTAAGTTGGTTCTTGGGGCTTAAAATTTGTCTTACATAAGTTCGGAAACCTAATGTATGTAAAAAATAAATAAATTAATTAAAAAACAAAAAAACAAAAAAAAAAAAAAACAAAAAAACAAAAAAACAAAAAAACGATGCACTATTGCAGCTGTTACTCCGTACAATTTTTAAGCTTGTTTGTGAAAAAGGCAACAATTTTGATTTGGAAACCGAAAATACCCAAACTGGTAACATGGGTAAAATAATGTACCTAACAAAAAGAAGACTAGCTTGTACTAAGACCTATTCCAAAGTAGCACAGCACAGGATATGAACATATCATCTCTGAGATGGCAGCCAGAGTATGCATGTATGTACCTCAGGCAATGTGCTCGGCGAGGCTGAGAATCTTGATGTGCTTCTTCTTCCTAAGCTCGTGGGGAACGGGGCCGAAAACTCTGGTACCGATTGGCTCTCCGTGCTTGTTGATAAGCACCACAGCGTTGTCGTCAAACTTAACTTCGCTCCCATCACAGCGGCCCCTTGGCATTGCAGCACGAACAACTACGCCGTAGTGGACCTCTCCTTTCTTCACTTTCCCACCTGGCTGCGCTTCCTTTACTGAGCAAACTATTGTATCGCCCAGCCTTGCTCCTTTCTTGCCCTTCAATGCTTGTATGCACATAACTCTTTTCGCACCCGAATTGTCTACCACTTTGAGGTTGGTCCTCATTTGTATAAAAGTTCTTAGTTGCTGAAAGGGGAAAAAGAATCATATAGTCATTGAAAGCTTAGATGGTCTAAATGTGCTTCCAGGAATCAGGAACGTAAATCCAAGCCACATTTTCACAAGGTGTTGCCTTTTCTTGATGAAAAATAGGCAATCAATTTAATTTAATTATCTAATTTTAAACACTCGTCATTACATCCGTTAATAACAAACACTACAATGGTAATGCAGCTTCAAGTAAGCAAAAAAATCATGATTAAAGAAAGTGAAGCAATAAGAACTCGCTACTATCAGCAAGATGAAACAAGTGTCACGATATGAAGACTCACTGTTATTAGTCTGATGGAAGTATGGAACAAATGCCATGATGTTCAAAACCACTTATTGACACATGCTTCTTCAATTAACTGACCCGGTTGATCTGGGACCTTGATTAAACCCATTTGCTTTCCAGAAGTTTGAAATTCTTATTAATATCATTAAAATGAAGATATATATAGGCACGCAATTTATTATTGACTGATATATTGTTATTTTTGTGAGGTTGGTTGAGTGATTGTAACAACTCAGTCCAGAGAGTCCATCTTGCAGTATCAGGGCAAGCTATAAACTATTAAGGCAGCCGGGCATGTATCCTTTTTTTTTTTCTTAATAATCTTATGTTTTTTTTTTCAGACATGAGATTCTTAAAGTATGTATTACTATGTAGTTCTAAATTTCTAACAATCATCCATTAATACATATGCTTTAGCCTTTGGGATAGTGTGTCATACTGACATTTGTAATAAATACATATACTAACAATGACTACTCTACTCAGAACCCAACAATCATGCTATATCACAGATAAAGTTGGAAAAGATAAAAAGGATATGCAATAGAGCAGAGGAACCTGTGTGAATAAATCATTGGATATAATCTCAGGTGATGCTCTCGTGAACATGGCAGAGTTGTTACAAAGGCCACCCAGTAATGAACAACCTGGTAAGAAACCATAAGCAGTGCAAATGCACAGAATTAGCAGGAAGTAAATAAAGCAGAAAAAGAGGTTGTCTTGAAGCCCGTCATTTTAGTTGGTGGAATATACTTTATATGAAAATATTATGAATCATACAGATCAACTTGAACAAGTTCTAAACTTTTGTAACTAATTACAAGCACAAGGAGCGAGCTCTCTTACCACGGAGCAACCGAGAAGAAGATGCAGCCATCACTAGTTACAGTCTTACAGATTCACACAACAAACTTATGAAGCCCTTATCTTTCCTGTCAACATAGATGCATTGATAATAGCATCAGTCCACTAATACCAAATAAACACGGAAGAGCAGAAACAGCAGCTCTTCAAATGCAAAAGATTATTAATTCATGTCTATATATAACAAGTCATTCCTTCTATTAGCCCATCAAGATTTTAACTACTTGAACCAAGAAAATTTTGCACAGATTTCACCCTCTCATTTCATCCCATTCAACACCAGATTTCTCCATGAATAAAGACAGCTAGGGAAAATTATAAAATGAAACAAACCAAATGTTGCAAAGATTTGCTAAATATGATCATACCAAGGCTTTAAGAACTACCACACCTAAAGGGAAACACCAACTCATATTCCTGTATCCTACCTATGTGGTAATGTTGAAGTTTAGTACTTAATACTTACACTAAGCACACAAGCTCCTAATAAAATGCAAAATCACAAACCAAAAAGCCATGAAGGAAATTTCAAACTCTTTCGATTTCTACAGTAAGTGAGTTTATCGACAACAATCAACCTCTAAAACCAAAACTTTACATTAAACCTCGGTTTTTTACACTCCGTGCTCATGCGGTCAAAAATCAATTTGACGAAGAAAACAGAACAAAACATTTCAATTTCTAACCGAAATGGAATGATTCTGAAACTGAGATAGAAGGAGACTTACGTGAAATTGAGCTAATTCTGTGGAGTCGTCAATGGGAGAAAATCAGCCGGCGAAGGGTTGAGCGACGATGAGCTGCAATAAGGGTACAGCCGTACGAGTCAGATCCGTCACAGTGAGCATTGAGACTCCAAGGGTCTGTTTGGTTGCACATGAAAATGGAAATCAGAATGGATATCAAATACTTAATAAGTGTAATGTGTTTACTGTAATGTGTTTTAGTGAAAGTATTTTACATGTTTGGTAGTAGGATGAAATGGAAATTATTATTAATAATGATGTTTAGTTATGTATGATTCTATAATAAAAATAAAGATTTTAAAAATACAAAAACACAAAATTAAGACAATTGATACTAATATAAAGACATCCAAAATACTAATATGAACAAAAAAAAAAAAATTAAAAGCACTAATCAAAGGGGATGGGAAGGAATAGGATAATGAGGGGATGATACTCTTATTTTATTTGGGTATGAATTTTTCAATTAAGAGAGTATTTGAAACTCATAGCAGTGTTCTAAAAGTCTATCAATCAAACAATACCAATCACTTTGATACTCATTCATTAGAGCTAAATCTGTCAACCAAACACACACCAAGTCTTTTATGCTATAAAGAGTTCTACTAGTACTCCCAAATCTTACTCTCTTCTAAATCTTACTCTCTCCAATTTACTCTCTGATGTGACGGGCATTTATAAGCTATTTTCTTCGAGTTCTACTACATAGATTCTCAAATCATATTTCCTAAATTTTACTCCATTATGTGGCGGACATTGATAGGTTACTTTTTCATGTGGGTCCCAATACAAGTGTTTACATCAAGATTTTGTGTATAAGAGTAAAATTTGGGCGTATAAAATGGAAGTACATGTAGTATTTTGCATTTTCTTCTTGTGGGTCCCTGTTAATGTGTCTACATCAAAATTTTTAAGTGTGAGAGTAGAGAATGAGAATACATATAGTATTTTTCGCTAATAAATTTGACCCCAATGTATACTAAAAGTACACTATTTGTGTATTGAATGTACATTTTTTCAGTACAATGTAGTATTTATTTTATACTTTCTCAAACATTTTCATTCCAACGAATCTAAGGCCTCACCGAGGTTCAACCCTATGACCACCCATTTGGAATGGTAATCAGAATGTCATCACTCTAAATGTTGGTCGGCACACAAATAATGTATTTCTAATATATTAAAAATGTACGGAGTACTTTTTATTTATTGTTCACACAACTGTGTGAACCATGATCCATAATCCATTGAATAATGATTGATAATTGCCACCCGCATGGGCAGCTCAACTAGTCATAGAGGTGAAAGTTTGGAAGAATGATCAGGGATCGAGTCTCACCAGAGGCAGTGTGGGAGCAACCTCTCAAAGTGAGGGGGTTCCTTGTGCACTGGTTCATGTTCAGTTGAGTTGCTCTGTCGGGGTGGGGTTCAACCTTTTGAAAGAATGATTGATAATTACCTGGCAATTATATTGTGGACTATGAATAATGTTTATTTTTAATATACTAAATGTTAATTAGTTGACCAGGACTATGTGGTCTAATGGTACCCGGATTAGACTTCCATTTGGAAGATTATGAGTTTGAGCCTCAGTGGAGGCGTTATTAGTTCTTTGTGTTTCAGTAGGTTGAGAAAGTATATGAACAAATACTACATTGTAATAGAGCCAGTAGCTAAGAATGGAATATCTTTTGGAATAGGTTTGGTCCGCGGAAGGACTTTAGGATTACATTACAATGTTTGGTTGATTTAAGGAATAGAAATGAAATATCTTTTAAAAGACATAAATACCCTTATAAAAATATGGAATAGGTTTGGTTCACGGATATCTTTTAAAAGACATAAATACCCTTATAAAAATATGGAATAGGTTTGGTTCGCGGAAGGAATAGACTTTAGGATTACATTACAATGTTTGGTTGATTTAAGGAATAGAAATGAAATATCTATTAAAAGACATAAATACCCTTATAAAAATATGTGATGCTGGCGTTGGCGGCGGCAGTGGTGGCGGCGGTGGTGGTGGTGATGGAGGTTGTAGCGGTGGCGTTGGTGTTGCTAGGGTGGCGGTGCTGGTGGCGGGGTGGCGATGACGATGGCGATGGTAGCAGTGGCGGTGGTGGTGGTGGCGGTGCTAGGGTGGTGGTGCTGGTTGTGGTAGCGGCGGCGGCGACGACGACGACAGTGGCGATGGTGGTGGTGGTGGCAGTGGTGAAATAGGAAATAAATTTAATTTTTTTTTTTTGGGGGGGGGGGGGGGGGGGGGGGGGGGGTAAAATAGGAAATAAAAACTTTAGGCTATTCCCGAAAACTCAGGAATAGCCTAATACCAGGCCCCCCCCCCCCCCCTCCCCAAGATTCTCTATTCCCCTTGCAAGGGGAATAGCTCATTCCCGGAAATAATGTTCCTGGGAATACAAGTGGTTACCAAACAGAGGAATAGGCCTATTATTAGGAATGCTATGTCATTCCAGGCTTATTCCGTGAACCAAACAGCCCATTAGTGTATTAGAGCATCCATATCTGTGGATTATTCACAATTTTTTAGGCAAAAAAATGACATGGATGAGAAAGAGTGAAGAGAGAGATGGTGTAAGGTTCTTCTCTAAGTTAGTGGTTTTTGTTAGTTTGTGGGGTCCACATGATTGAGCGAAATACTGTCTTACTCTTGCGTGAATACAGAACCCGCGCCCAGCTCGGGTGCGGGTTGTTACCTTTTTTATTTTGTTTTTGTTTTTTTTTATTTAGTTCATTATGTATATTTTTTTTTCATTTTTCTCTTTCCTATCGTTTTTCCTTTCCCAATCACATTTACAAAAAAAAAAAAAAAACTCCACTATTATGGATGTTCTTACAAATATATATAGAATATTTAGTATATTAAAAATATATAGTAAATGGTACAACTTGTGTAAGGTGGACCATGGTCCATGATATAATGTTTTTTTTTATTTTTATTTTTATAAGAGTCCATAATATAATGATTGATAATACCTAAACTCGTCATTATATCCTAAACTTGCAATATGGTCATCCTGATATAAGATTTTTTTTTTTTTTTTTGAAAGCCAAAAACTTCGGATTACATTAATTCAAGGGAGAAACAATGAAAGGAGGTAGAGCATCCCTCCAGACCGTTCGTGCTTCGACCGCACTTACATGTTTAGCTAAGGCATGAGCTATCAAGTTGGTATCTCTGCGTACAAATCTAACAGAACAAGCGGAGAATGAATTAATCAAAAGTAAACACAAATCTAAGACAATACCAAGATACGAACGAAAAGAACTAGCAACCCGAAAACTAGAGACGAGGACCGCACAATCCGAATAAATTTCAACATTCTAGTAGTTGTGTTCTTGTAGCCACGAAAGGGCCTCACGTACCGTCATGACTTCAGCTAGAAGAGGGTCCTGATATAAGATTGTTTTTAATATATCACATCATATTTGTTTAACTATTTATATAGATTTATGTTTGTTGCAAGTTCATTGTTTTTTTACATGTTTAATTGTAGTACATATTCTTTTCTTTCTTTTTTTTTTAATCAAGATTTATCTTAAAAGTTTTACAAAATATAATTTCCTAAATCCTAAGTAACGTAGAAACATAAATATGAACACAATAGAAAATGGGATAGAAACATACAAATAGAAAAGATTATATAGGGATTTTGCAAATTTGTTAGAGTTAATGTTTTCAAAACACATAACGTTCATTTCTAAAAGTTTTTTCTGCATACCAGGTAATACCTTTCAAATATACATATTGAGAAAAAGATAGGTATTTTCTCAATAGGATAGAGTTTATATGAGAAGATGTTTCATTGTGAAAATGTGAATAAATCTCAATTTTCTATTGCAAAATAATGAATTAATGAGATTTACACTTAAAAAGAAAAATATTGTTGAGAGGGGGCGAAGAAGCAGGACGGATCCATCAATTTTTTCGAGTGAAGTGAAGCATTAAAACAAAAGAGATAATTTAAAAAAAAAAATTACCCAAGAAATATAAGTATAAATATTGTTAGATATGAGCAAAAATTAAAACACGTCGAAATTTCATTAAAAATATTCATAACAAAATATGAAATATAATTAATTTGATAAAATAATTTGAATAGAGAACACATTATAGATTACACGTCTCATTTTTAGTATAAAAGAATGCTATATATGTGTGTGTATTTTATTAAATATTAAAAAAGCTATTAACAATGTGATTGTGTTGAAACCAAGAGAAACTGTAAAATTGTGTTAATACCAACAAAGGGTTCAAACTCTGGACCTTGATTATAACCAAACATATGCTCTACCAACTACTTTATCTCACTTCTTGTTAACATTTATCTGTTTCTTTATACTAAAACTAAAACTTGTACTAAACATATGCTCTACCAACTACTTTATCTCACTTCTTGTTAACATTTATCTGTTTCTTTATACTAAAACTAAAACTTGTACTATATATACATACAACTATTATATATGAGCTGCCCCCCTCCCCCCCCCCTCCCGCCCCCCGCTCCGTCCATGGGTACGGTAAAATAATAGAGGACAATGGATGTATATAACGGGGACAATCTTGTACTTCTATGTAACGCTATTACAATAGATTGAGTGATTTCAAAGTGAATATGTGTTTAGACCATAGAGATGAGATGTCATAAGAAGACAATTTATATGATTATTTATATATAACTATATAAGAGCTCCTAACCGTCCCCTCCCCAGGGCGAATCGGTTGCAATTACCTTACCGCGCACGGATCACCGTCCACTATTTTATCCATTCAAATTTTATTGTCAATGTACAGTATAGAATTCCCACATATGGTAATAACATGCAAAACAATATCGCTCAGTCGCTCACTCTAAGCGGAGTTGACTAACTCCTAAATAATGAACTATTCAACACACGTACAGTGAATCAATACGTCCGTACACACTGGTTTTGACCACCTTGCAATTGAGTCTATCCCTTTTGTTCATATTACCAACTTTTTATCTTTTTTATTTTTTAACATTCATATTACCAACTTAGAATTTAGGAATTGTAACGTAAAAAAGAAAAAAAAATTGTTTCGAAACGGGTGAT